TCAGGCCTAAATCTACCACGGACCTCCAAAATACATTCCGAACACGCTCCTAAGTCCAAAATCACCCGATGGAGCTAACCAAATCCTAAAAATCCAAATCCGAGATCGAATACTAAAAGTCAAGACTGAGTCAAACCTTTCAAATTTAAAGCTTCAAGCTGAGAACCGTCCTTCCATATCTATTCTGATTAACCTGAAAACAGAAAATCGACAATTTATATAAGTCATAATACATCACACGAGGCTAGTCATGCCCGAGAACTGGCGAGCGAAGTACAAATGCTCAAAACGATCGATCGGGTCATTACAAACGGCTTCATTTTTGTCATTTTGTTTTTGTACAAAGATTCATTACCCGACCGGCTTATACCTTCAGGTGTTCGAACTATAGGTCTGAAGACTTCACGTTTTCAAGTGAAGTTAATTCTACTTGGATAGCGTCTTTTCATCTTGGCCAATTATTTCTCTCTTTACATTCATCGACAAATTTTGGTTCAAGATCCTTATATTGTTGCATTATTTCAACAACAACATTATACACAAAAATATTGTCAACACAATATTATTTCGGTTCCACATTTTTTCCGTAGCGACATAACTTACTGAGATCTCTTTATTCTCATTATTTTCAGGTACCTGGACCTCCCCTGAGGTTTTATAATTTGTTATATCTCGGGGCTCTTCTTGAGCCACTACCTTCGTATTATGATTACTTTGATCATTTGCTCCCTTCCATCTTCGATAATCTTTATCTTTAGGACCGACTGGTCTACCACGTTTCAAGCGTGGCCTAGACTCATTTACATTATTTGATTATCTTGTCGGGATATCAATTCAAATTGGAGCATTAGCAGCTGGAATATGTGACTTAGTCACCCTTGGTATGTCAATGAATGCAACTGCAGTTGATTTGCAATATTTTATAAATAAATTATCTTTTGAACCTCTTATTTCACATTAATTTATTCTAGGATCTAAATGAGATAGTGATAATACATTCCAATCAATCTCTCTTTTCAACTGCTTATTTTCTCCCCTAATGTTGGGTATACCGATTCATCAAAATGGCAATCAACAATTCTTGCCGTAATAAAAGGAGATTCATACCCAACATATATTCTCAATCTTTTTTAGAGACCCATCTTTGTGCGTTGTGGTGGAGCAATTGAAACATATATCGTACAATCAAAAATTCTAAGATGAGAAATATTTGGCTCCTGGCCAAAAGCCAATTGTAATGGGGAGATTTTATAATAACTTGTGGGTCTTATCCTCACATGTGCTGTTGCGTGCAAAATAGCATGACACATATTGAAATGGGAAATTTTGTTCTCATAATCATTGGTCTATCAATAATTGGATACGTTTGATCAATGATTCCGCTAGACCATTTTGAGTATGAAAATGAGCAATCAGATGCTCAATTATTGTCCCAGTTGATATACAATAGCCATTAAAGCCTGGAATGTAAATTCACCAGCATTATTAAGACGATTTGTCTTAATTTCATAATCTGAAAATTGTGCTCTTAACCTTATTATTTGAGCCAATAGTCTCGTAAATACCATATTATGAGTTGATAACAAGCACACATGTGACCGTCTTATAGATGACTCTAGCAAAATCATATAATACTTGAATGGAGAGGGTATATGTACCCACATATATCACCCTGTATACGTTCCAGAAATACAGAGGATTCAATCCCAACCTTAGCTTTTGATGTCTAATAACCAATTTTCTTTGAAAACAAGTAGCAAATGAGCATAAGATTCTTCAATGTGTGCCCATGTGAATTCTCAATTATTTTGTACATCATATTAGAATAGAGCCCGACCGGTCATACCAATTGTTAAAATTATTAGAACCAGTAAACTTCTTGCTTACTACGGCATACAATTCAACCACACTATACTTGTGTGATACTAGCCAGAGGAAAATGCAGGTAACTTTTAATGTATACATATTTTTTTTCGCTTTTATTATAGTAATATAAAGGTATTCACCCTTTCCTTCATTGGCAATCTCCACATGGTAGCTATTTTGGCGAATAACTTTAAAACTCAACAATTTTCTTTGAGACTTACTACTGTACAAGGCATTACTTATATGCAAGTAGTAATAAAGCTGGTCTTCCAGAGCCTTCGATTAATTTAGGCCTTTTTTCATAACCAAATAAGAGAAATATTTCTTTTCTCCTAGTATAGTGTTAGTTGTAGTACTATCTAAAAGGTATATATCTTCATTACTCATCTTGGATCCAAATGAAGACTGGAGAATTTTATTTTCTTCGTAAAACAAAAGTACATCATAAGAACTATGAAAAACAAACAACACTATAAGATAACTTAAGGTACTTGAAAATTAAAATAACTTAAGAAAGAACAAGACAATTAAAACACGGAAATAAAAGCAACAACATAATTGTATTCTTCACTAAAGTGAGCAAACTTCAGTTTTGATCCCTAAAAAAGTCTCCAACTTCCAAATGAGTAATATCATCGAGGTCTTCAAAATCATCATCTTTAAAAGCATGATTTGCCTCGACATTATCATCATATTTGTTTGAAGGCCCTGCCTCAGCATTATTTCGAAAGGTCAAGTGCGACTCTACCGGGACACTAACAGAAGAGGCTCTAACATTATTAGTCTTTCTTTTGGTGGAGTTTTGATAAAGCCTGACAAAATATTCAGGCGCACGACTTTCATGCTTCTAGTGATCTTTCATACCACATCGATGACAATTATTGCCTTTTTCTCTTGACGGATTATTTGAGAACCCATATTGTTCTCCCGTTTATAATGACCACCGTGTAATTCCTTCTGTAATGTATTATTTTATCATACGTCTGATCCTATTTTGTACGTGAAACAACAATTATTATAATCAATTCAATAAACCTATAAGTAAGCTCGTGTGATTCTATATGACATCAAGTAATTTTTTTAGAGTAGAAGTCGCTTAATAAAATATTTATAAGTCATCATAGTTGTAATCGTACTATGTACATGATAGAGTAGTAAGCATGGTTTCAAGAGAGAAAAGCATATGGCAAAGTTTACATGCAAATATGCACATCAGCGATACCAGAATAAGCTTAGAAGAAACATACTTGTTCCAAGGAGGAGAATAAACACAACTTAGAGATTATGGAGTTGATTAGAGTCTAACGTGTTGTGAAGTAAAAGTAATATATCAAAATCTAAATATGAAACAGAGATAGTTTTTTACTTCTTCTGGTGTGCCTTTCCATTACCATTTACACAACTTTTTATAGGCATAAAATATGAAGACTTACTATTGTAAAATATGAGAATCTATCCACAAGTTGTTCACACACACGGACATTTATTTTTACAAACTATCCATAACAATTCATGATATTTTGTCCAAAAAATATTTGTTTGAACAATTTCTACCAAAAAGAAAGAAGGTGGCCTTATATAAGGATTTTCAGACTCAGTTTCTTGAAAAATAAAATAGTTTTTGAGTTGTTGACATATTAAAGATTTTTTCCACTATAGATTTAAGAAATTGAATTTGGTATTTACACAACCTGATAATTATAATATAATTTTCAAGCGCATCATTCGTCAAATAATTTAAAAATTAAATTTGCGAATTTGATTATTTTTCGCTTTTTGTTTCTCTTGTTGTATTCATCTTCCCAAAAAATACCTCATAAAATCATATTCTCCACCTAAGGTATCCTATTTTACCGTTCATCTACAAACTATAGTTTTTTCTCTAACCATCCCCAACCTAAACGTTCAAAAGACGTTGTTTATTATGGTGGCATTTTCTGGCAAGTCTTATTGATGAAGATTATTTTTGGCGATGAAGAGTTTATTTGGCGAGTCCTGTGATTGTGAGAATATAGCAGTTATAGTAATTTTTGTCATTTCGGTAAAAGTCATATGGTCGGGAAGGGTGGTGAAATATTATACTTGGTGGTAGAGTAGTGGTATTTTCTCAAGTGATGGACTGATGATGATGAGAATTGAGAACAATCTGGTATTGTTTGAATGAACAAGGTGATTGACGGTTGTTATAATTGGATTTTTTGTTCTATTTTATTAAGGAAATAGAGCAAAAAAATATTATTTTGTGGATGATGGTGTCCGACTATGGTGGTTTATAGCCAAGAGTATAATATTTTTTTTAGTGAATTTTTTGTATCCATATTTTTAGAAGGATATTGAAAAATGAGGGAATAGAGTATAGTGAAAGAGAATTGTATATAGCCTCTTGATCATTTCTCAAAGAGTTTTTTTCTTTGAGGGACTAATAAAGGTCTATTGCTGGTGGATGAATGAGATATGTGGTGGTGTTATGTAGTAGATGTGAAAGACTAAGACTTATATCGTATACTGGTGGTGAAGCAAGAAGAGGAAGGCGTTGGGAGGTTTGTCGCGTCCTCTTGTTTTCTACTAGGCTTTGTTTTTAAAGCAGGTATTTGAATAGTTAGTTTCGTAGTGAAAAGAGATTTTAACGAGGAGGTGACTTTATGAGGTAGTGTTTTGGAAGATGAAGAACAATAAGTGAATAGAAAATAAATGAGAAAGGATCAAATTTGACCCTAAGTTATGATAAATGGTTTAGATATGTCATAAGTTAATTGTTGGCTGGACGACGGACATAAGGCAGTCGTAGGTACTAATCAAAGTATTTAAATGCTAATTAAATCCAGCTAATCAGAGTGTATATGTGCCACTCTTATGACTACAAAACACTCCCTCAACTATTAATGGATGACATATCTATACCGTATCACATAATTCAAGGACTATATAGATTTCTTTTTCCAAAATAAATAAGTTGAATTAAGAACTAAAAATATCCCATGGAAATCCTATTATCTCATCCACATTATTCACGGGCTTGCTAAGACAAAAAATAAAATTTCAGCATGCACCGATCCACCATATAACTAGAGGAAAATGACATGACAAAGCCTCAAAGAAACGAGAAAAGGATTCCCCCCCATTTAAACTAAACGGTCCAGAGTCCCAGTCCCCAGTCCCCAGGTTAGATCATGCGTCAGGAGGCCATTTTGGTCATCTCACTTTCACCAGCAGAGACCAAATTTTTTTGAAGACCCGCTCAATAGAATATCAAAAGCTCGTTTTTTGGAGGGATATACAAAGGGCGGCAAATTTATTCGCCGGCCTGCACGTGACCCCCACACACTTCTCTATCTCTTCCGATGTCGTCGTCAAGGCTCCGATCATCCATCTCGCCGTTCCGGTCACGAAAATCGTCGTCTTCGTCTTCCTCCTCCTCTAAGCGTCCTACTACCCCTTCCTCCACTACTTCCGCCAAAGCTCCCACTCTACCGCCGGCAAAATCATCATTTTCTCCGTCGACTCCTAGCTCCGACTGTCCACCGGGTTCTTCTGGAAAGACGAAGGAGAATGTCACTGTTACCGTTAGATTTCGTCCGCTCAAGTGAGTAATTTCCTTACTTTTAATTTTACACTGCTCCTCCATTAGCTGAGCTGTTGCTGATGATGACAAATGGATTTTTTTCATCTTTTGTAGCGCTAGAGAGATAGGGAAAGGCGACGAGTTAGCTTGGTATGCTGATGGAGATTATACAGTCCGCAATGAGAACAATCCCAAAATTGCTTATAGTTTTGGTTAGTCTTTTATGACTTGGTGGACTGTTAGCTTTCATTTTTCTATCTGTATAAATGTGTGGAAGTGTATGTACTTGTAATAATTATTTAGTAAAATATTTTCATTCATCAAAAAGTACTACTGATGTTGCAGGAGGTACAATCATTCATTCATGGTTGTGTCCGGAGTTCCAGTTGTCACTGTCTTAATGGAGTTCTAGTGTTAGATTATTATGTTCCATTACTTTTTTTCGTTCTGCCTATTCCTAGGGTTAACGTGTTTGTCACTTTCCCATGGACATATCATTTCTTTTGCTTATTAGAAAAAGGAATATCTTTCATACAGATAAAGTTTTTGGTCCTGCTACAACTACACGCCATGTTTATGATGTTGCAGCTCAGCATGTGGTGGGTGGTGCCATGGAAGGAATTAATGGTAATGACTCCTCCATATATGTTGAGTTTAACTTGCAACCTTATAACTGGAACCGAGCTATGATACATTCCAGCATTTTCTCTTTTATGTTGATACTTCAAATAGAATTTAAAGTGTGTTGGCTCGTTCTTTTTTTTTTTTTTGGGGGTTTGGGGGGTTCGCCTGCTGAATTAACTTAATAGCAATTTTCCTTAACTGCAAACTATAAGATCAACATTACTTGTTAAGTTATACCATATTGTAAGTTGTTCGGAGTCTTCGGACTCTCCAAAAATGTTGTACCTGTGCGGGATCTCAAAAAATGCACTGCGTTTGGAGGTTCCGACACACACCCAACAACATTTTTGAAGACTCGGAGCACATTTGTCCACACAGTGATATGTCAGTCTTGGATATCATAACTTTATTTCTGGACTTTCTTCTACCAAAGCAATTGCCGTCGTTCCTTCATCTTTTACATAAATATATCAGTCCCTTGTTCCTTTCTGCATCATTTTTTTGGGATCAAACCAGAGGATAATAATATAGTTGTACATACTGTGATGAAGTAATTTAACAAGACCTTTTACTTGTTTACAAAATTCGTAAGATTTTGCTTCCATCCCTCCTTAGAGGGATGTGGAAACTAAAGTTACAACTCTTTAGGGAGTTTTTGGTTCTATGTTTTCTTGCTCTAATTGAGAAGGATAGTTTGGTCATTACTGATAGAAACCATAAATTGTTGTATTACGCTTTGAAGGGTCAGACTGAACGTGTAAGTCATCAACTGGTATGGTATTGGGGCCAGTTAAGTGATAACTGAGAATTATGTTCTAGCCTTTTAGGCATTACTGTCGCAAACTAAGGTGTTCTATGGTGTGGATAGAGGGGAAAGTTTTGTAGACCAAAGACACTCATTCCTTCACATTTTGTCTTCCGCTTGGCACTTACATTGTTATCTTTGTTGTATTTAAATGTTTTGCAGGAACTGTGTTTGCTTATGGTGTAACTAGCAGCGGAAAGACTCATACAATGCATGTAAGTCATTTCGTTAAGTTTTCATTAGTCATTTTAGTTCCCACCATGTTTTTTTGGTGTGCTCACTTGATTAAGATGATAGATCCAACAGTGTAGACATTTTGAAAATGATTATACATCCAACATGTTAGTCAATTTGCTTGCAGTGAAAAATGAAACATGCAGCCATCTAAAAGGAACTAATGTTTGCAAAGTTGTATAGGCAAGATTTTGTTACAAAGAATATGGAAAAGGAGAAAGAAGAGATTTGGGGAATGAACTTCTTGATTATTCCTCAAGTGATGGGAGAACTAAGTAGTGTTTACAAAAATATAGACAACAAAACCGTAGGATAAGTGAATAACTATATATATATATATAGCAGCTAAAAAGAAAAGCTACAAGCAGCATCCAAAGAAGATAAGCTACTTTTTTAATCTTGCCACTGTGATTCAAAGAACTTTTTTGAAGGCCTAGTTTTTTATCTCAAACTTTTAACTAAAGAAGATTTAAGTGCTGATGATTTTTATTAGCATTGCCTGTAATCGGTATCGTTCGCGTAAACTATCAAAGCTACTTCTTTGGAAAGGGGTGAGTGCTTAATTGATGGTGAGTGGCCACTTTGACTCTGTACAAAGCCATATTTGGAAGAAACATTTAAAAGGGTGTCACCATACAAGAGGTTTGTTTCATGCAGAATGCTTGTTCATTGCACTCACAGGAGTGATTTTCAATCAAGTGGTATGAATGTGCAAGCTTTGTTTCTTGATTTTGATTTTATTTGTTGGTTCTTGAAGGTAAGAGTTATTTGTTAACTGCGGTGTTAATATGCAAACTTTGTTTCTTGATTTTGATTTTATTTGCTGGTTCTTGAATGTAAGAGTTATTTGTTAGCTCCGTGGTCAAGTTGGACAGAAATATATCCCTTTCCATCTGAAACATTTTGCTAAGCCTCTCATGTTATATAGGGAGAGCAAAAGTCTCCCGGTATCATTCCACTAGCAGTGAAGGATGTCTTTGGCATTATACAAGAGGTACTAGCTACCCTGTTTTCACAGCTTAGTAAAAATTGATTCTGTAGTTTCATGAACTTTAATACTATTTGGAGAACATTTCTAGTTTATAGCTGACTTTCAAATGTATTGTATCAGACACCTGGGCGGGAGTTTCTCCTTCGCGTATCCTATCTTGAAATATACAATGAGGTAAGTCAGACAGTAGTTTGATTTTAGCTGTAGCTTTTGTTCTCATCAGAGCAAAATCTACGATAAAAATCAAGGTGATAAGCTGCTCAAATAGGCACATGTTAAAGGGTTTCATGCTGCATTTTAAATAAATTAACAAAATAAAATTGAAAACTCAGCATATTGGTACATGATGGTGTCTTCGTTTCTCATTTTAGGGTTCAATTCCAATGCATTGAGATTGACCTTACGTTTATTTTAGGTCATCAATGATTTGCTTGATCCAACAGGGCAGAATCTAAGAGTCCGAGAAGACGGACAGGTTTGTTTGAATGAGTCATATTCATGGCTGTCTGTGTTTTATTTCAAATTATGTTATCATATAATAAGCTTTCTTCAATCTTATTTTATGTGTCGTTAGTGGTTTTTTATTCTCTATTCATATGCATTAGTTTCTTCTACTAATTTCATAGAGCAAGCTACTCCCTAGAAGTTGAACTTCTGTATTTATGATCTGGTTAATGGTAAATTTACCAAACATTTTTAATGGATGTATACGCTAAGTGACACCCTAGAACAGAGGATTTCAATCGAAGCAAGTTTAATTATTTGAAGTTTTATTTGACATGGATTCAGAATAAATACTTATGCTAATCCTTCTATGCTTGCTATTAGGTCTGGTTCATGTTATAGGCATGGTACTAATTTCTTGTTTTAAGTGTCCCACATTGGTTGAGAAAATGTGTTGCTGTCCTTTATATGATCTTGGACAATCCTCTCATCGAGCTAGCTTTTGGGGTTGAGTTAGACCGAAGGTCCATTATATCAATGTTATATGAGCCTATTTTCACACCAACTCTCTTTGTTCATGTTTTATCACTCTGGGCCTCTCTCTCTCTCTCTCAACTCAGTCCATTATGCTCCCCCCCTCCCCCAGGCATCCTTAATTTAACCCATCAATCCATTAATGTTTCTCCAAGCCCACTTATTAGCTTGTTGAGCCTAATATCTCTCTCTATACTCAAGGTCCACTCCTGTTGAACTCTTCTCTCTACTTAAAAAAAAAGGAAAGTCAAAACAAATCAAATACACGTCAAAGCCTTAGAATTGGAGCAAGGAGAGTGTTAGAGAATGCACCACTTGTCCCTCATCAATTTTGTAAGGGGTTTAAATGATTTTGCCCTATTCCAACCACTGCCTTAAAACTTTCGGTTGGATGCGGTAACTCTTTCACATGGTATTAGAGCTAGATCTATCCTTATTCTTGGTTTTACTCAGTGTTGAGCCCTGATGTTATGTTGTTCACGCCCCAAATGTTCCAACCTTGGGCGTCTATGGGAGGGGCTGGTAAGTGTCTCGCATTGGTTGAGAGAATAGACTGTTGTCTGCTGTCATGGGAAATCCTCACTTTATGAGTTATGTTTTTGGTGTTGAGATATGCCCAAGGTCCATTTTCTTAACACTTTGTTTAATAAACTCATGTTTACATTCCCCAAAGCATTGGTTGTCTGTTTTTTTTTTTTTTTAAAAATAGTTTCTTGGAGATTAACACATCTGATGTAGTCAGAAGCTGAAACTGATTGGTGTAGCGGCAAATATAATGGCATTTTTGGAAAAAAAAAAACAGAACTAATAACGAAGTGCAGCAAGTCGAGGTTTAATATAGGAACAAAAAACCACGAAAGGGATTGAAAAAGCATCAATACTGTATACTTTGTATGACTAGCTCTTTTATCTTTTTCTTTTAATGATTAGCTCTTTATCAGCTATAATCATCGTGAAGTTATTGTCAATTTGGATTATCTTTTACACGGGAGGAACAAAATAATCTTCATAGAATCTTATGCTTTAACTTGGATATTTGGATCTCTTAGTTGTCCACTTTTTCTCTCGGAATTGAGTGGTCTTTACAGAGGTTTATGCAGCATCTAAATGAAGATACGGTCCCTGAGTTGCAAGAGTACTGTAATTTAGTTTTTTGGGTCCGATGTTGCCTTTGAAGTCCTGTTTATTCTCTTTTCATTTGCTTCCATGTGGACTTCCTTTTCCATGTTCCAGTTTCTATACTGAAAGGTGGTGAGGGAGCTTTTTTTTAAAGCAGTCAGTTATATTGATTCCTATGAAATTGGGAGCTCTTTTCCCTTTTTTTTTCTTTGATGTGATTAGTTTTCTTGAAAACTGCTTATCATTTGAAGTTTTAACAATTTATTTGAAAGATGCAGGGGACGTATGTTGAAGGAATCAAGGAGGAAGTTGTTCTGTCCCCTGCTCATGCACTTTCCTTAATAGCATCTGGGGAAGGTTGTAAATCTCGTCTATTTATAATCTAAAGAGAGATTGCTATCATTACCTGCATGCAACAAGCCCATGTTGCTTTTACTCATTGCAGCTACCTATTTGTGATGCTTTATATAAGTAATCATATTCTGTGATTAGAAGGCTGTGGTACTAATTTGTGCCAGAATGCCTTCATATTGGGATTTACAGATGAACAGCACTAAAGAATTCGATAGCTTAACATATTTTATACGAGTCTTGATTACATGAAAAAAGAAGTATTAGAAACTGCTGCTTATTATTGTGAACTGCATCAGCCAAACCTTCAAAACATCTTCTATTTCTTCTATCTCATGTATAGTGCAAATTTTTGGTCTATATATCAGAAAACAATTGGCAATATTTGCTTAATTGCAGTTTCATCTACACCTATCTTGACATGTACTGATAAATATTCATCTCTCCCAAAAAATCGTGCCCATCACCCAAGCCATCATCAATGAAAGCAAATTGCGCAATAATCAATTAGCTTGGTTTGTCTTCTTCCGGAAATCTTAAGCATTAATGTGACCTTGATATTCTTGTTTTCTACTAAGTATTGATATGCCACCATTTCGCCAGATGCCAAGGGAAACTTCTTAACATGTATCTTTGGCTTTGATGGCACATTGAAACAGAGCACAGACATGTGGGTTCCAACAACTTTAATTTACTGAGCAGTCGGAGCCATACAATATTTACTTTGGTAATAGCTATCTCATTCATTCCCTTGAAACTATGTTCTAGTGTATTCTGTGCATTCAGAAAATGACAAGGATGTCTTCCTTGCTGTGTTCTAGCTGATAAACACTTATCTAATTATTTGTTATTGGGTATTCATAGATAATGATTATTATCCCATGTTCGAGCGTAGTTTTGTGTAGGACTAGTGCAGCATAAGTAAATGATGGAGGTGACGGAAAAACATTTTGCACATAGTAGCTCAATACTCAAAGTGAATAATTCTGCAACACATTTAAGGAAAGTATTGCTAAGTTCCCACTTGTGTACTCCGGTAATTTTGATATGTTTTGAAACTAAAGAATTAGGGGCAAAGACAAAATAGGTAATTAACTCAATGTGGTGTTGCCTTGACTTAAGATCGAGATGCAATTTAACTAAAGCTGCCAGAGTTTGATCCTTGGCCAGAAATTGAGGAGTGAACTAGGATTTTTGAATGCTGTGTCTTTGGCTCATAAAGGAAAATTCATGAAATCATCTTCTGTTTGATTATTATAAAATTAAAGTTGATCATGTTGCTGACTATACAGCAGATGCTCAATTTGTAATTATATGTATTTTTTTCTTTTGTCTCATTTTATGTCACAAAATGATTTTCCTTTAGTCAAATTTGCACTATCTAATGAGTGGTTTTCTGTGCCAGACAATTGAAAGCAGTTCACGAGGAGGCAATCAAGGAGAAGAAGTAGCTCTGTCGCAACTGGTAGCTAGTGTTACTTTTGGCTCATTTTGTTTTTGAAATTTACCTGTTAGCTATTTGATGTTATAGCCTATAGTTCACTAGATTATACATTTTCTTACGACTAAAGTTGTCAGTATGGTATTCGGGTAATTAGAATTTATCTTCTCGTTCTGTCCTCACTATGCTGTTCATGCATGCTGTACTCAAATCTTCTTTGTAGCATCTGATTGATTTGGCAGGCTCCGAAAGTTCCAAGACTGAGACAACTGGGTTAAGAAGGAAAGAAGGTTCATTCATAAACAAGAGCTTACTCACTCTTGGCACGGTAAGCTATTTCTTTCGTGTTTTTACTCATGGGAACTTCCCTTATCTATATGTCTCCTTACGCTTCATCTTAGGTTAAAAGAGTGTTGTGAAGAGCGTGAAACGAGGAAAAGCGACAAGCCCCTTTTCGCTTAAAGCAAGAAGCGAAGCGCTCGATTTTTTAAAGTGAAGCGAAATTTTAAAAAAAAAAATTAAAATAAACTGCATAGATAACACATGTAACTGTAAGCAAATGTTCAATACGTCAATGTAAAAACTAAAGAGTAGCATCAATTAAAACACAAAATGAGCATCCTATTATTCTACAAGATTGTAAATAGCTTACTAATGTGTAACTAGCTTGCAACACCTCGGTTCCAGGCCTAATGTGGTAAAAATCAATGTTGTTTCTTCTTTTTGAGGATTAGAGGCTGCAGGGGGAGTTTTCATTGCAGTTTTATAGCTAAACAATCCCGAGAATTAGGGAAAATACAGAACAAGTGGGAAAAGTCAACTTCACCTAAGCATTAAAAGAAAAAGATGCTCCCAGGCACATTACCCGAGATAACTCTCTTTCCTACTTCCTAGGTCAGCAGAGTAGCTTTTTCCGGTGCAATACCCACCGGAACTCCTTTTCTTCATTCACTTCTTTACTCATACTTTCCCCTTAAGACATGGACAGCAATAGGATATATTACAACGCGGGTTTCAAATCTTTTGATATCACAAAAAATAGAACTAGAACAGAAGTATGGTTCGATCGGGTTGAACGCAGCTGGAAATTAATGAGGACAGCAACTGTTAGCATTAAAGTGATGAAATGGGTGACAAATGTATTTAAGGTGGCCTCTAAGGAACACAACAGGGCAATAAGGAGATGGTCTATGAAAGATCACTATACAGAATATTATTGCAGGCTTAAATATAATGAATATGGTAGGTACATCAGTTTATTGCAGTACAAGGGGATAACAGGTCAGTTATTATTACACCGGAAATCGCAGTAAATGCTGGGTGGGGTGACATAGCCCAAAAGATCCTAAGACTCATTAATGTGCCGGAGAAGGAGAAGAAGGTCCAGATTGTAACTTCCCCCGTCTGGAGTTATCTTTTAAAGAAGCAATCAGAACCAACAGATGGTCATCAGAAGGGACAAAATCCTCTCCTATCAAAATCAGTAGGTCCAAAATCACAATACCTGGAGGTTCAGAGATAACTGAGAAAGATGTCTTGAGTAGATGCTTAGTAGGCAAAGTTATGATATCACCAAAGGAAACTCCACCTTTGAACGATATTAGAAAATGGGCATGCAACACTTGGAAGTCTTCCATCAGCATAAATGTACATGAGATGAATGACTCTCAATTCCTCTTCGAATTCCCATCAAGGAAAGAAGCAGAGCATGTTCTCAATGGAGAGTGGCAATGGAAGAAAGCAAAAATCAGCCTAGGTTGGTGGAACCCTACCACCGGCTGCTGGTCGGAGGAGGTGAAGAGGGACTGGGTGTGGATTAGGCTTTTGGGATTGCCGGTTAATCTGTGGTCGGAAAAAGTGCTCAAAACCATAGGAGATCAATGTGGGGGATGGATTGAAACGAAGGAGGAAACAATGCTCAAAAACCACCTCCGATGGGCTAGAATAGAAGTGATGGGGGATGGGAGTAAGGTTCCAAGGGAGATACTTCTAGAAAGTGATGGCTATTTGTTCAAAATTCCCATCTGGTGTGAGTTACCGGCGACGGTGGTGGCGGCACTTTCGAGGGAAGAAGAAGATGAAGACAATAGTCTATTGGGTAATAGAGGAAGTCAATATCCTTCGGTTAATAGTGGAGACCTACTGGAAAAAAGGTTCAAATTAGCGGCTAATCAGGAAGGGCATGTGGTTTCATCAAAGGGAGGGGAGGGTTCTAAAATTAGGGCACGTGTGCCAGTCACGTGTGACCTAATAACCAGGCCAGAAATTGAAATTTTGGGCCCCAAACAATCTGTTAGTTTGGGCCCAAGACATGCAGACCCTTCTCTCAAGTTATGTTGCAAAGGCCCAAACCAGTTAGCCCATTATGAAATAACTAAAGACCCATTTCTGATAGAGATCCAAGCCATCTCAACTAAAGAAAAGAAAACAGACGTGGAATTAGAGAAAGAATCTGTAGACACTCACGAAGGAATTGAAGAGGCAGAACACTCGACCAAGGCAGCCAGTGACAGTGCCATGATTCTCATCAACGAAATGGAACAACCAGTGACAGACGATCAAGACAATTCAGACATGCAGTTGGGGAGGGGAATTTCTTGGGGGATTGGGGCATAAAAGATGTTCTTCCTTTAAACTCTCTAATCAATGAAGAAGAGGAGGACCCATAGTTTAACGCTCCAATTTGGGTGCATCAGAATATTATCAGATTGAGCAAAGAATTTGGGATGGAATTCGAAGGGTGCGAGAAGGAAGCTTTCCAGTTATTTATGAAAATAGATGACAAGAGGCGCAATGCAATGGGGTCTTCATCATCAACAATGGAAGCAGCCACTCCAAAAAAGAAAGAAAGTAAAGAAATAAGAAACTTAGACTTCGGGAGCAAATTCAAAAGTAATGGCACAAGGAGCAGGGGGGTATATGGCCTTAGATAATAAATGATGATTAAAGTTGTTTCTTGGAATGTTAGGGGTCTAAATAGATATAGGAAGAGCAAGTTGGTAAAAAATATGATGAGCAGCTGGAAGGCAGAAGTCTACTGTTTTCAAGAGACAAAAGTCGAAGGGGAAATTAGAGACATTGTCAGAGACTTGTGGGAGTATAGGTGGGTGAAATTTGCTCAACTAGAAGCAAGTGGTACGAGAGGGGGTATTCTAATTATGTGGGATAGTAGGGTATGGGAAGGGGAAATCAGTAGCGTGGGGATGTATTCTATTACAATCAAGCTCAGTGGTAAAATACAAGAGTTTGTATGGTATGTATCCAGTATTTATGCTCCCAACGATAGGAGGGAAAGAGAAGAAGTATGGTGGGAGGTGGGTGCTGCGAGGGGTTTATTCACTGGGCCTTGGGTAGTGTGCGGGGATTTCAGTACTGTTAGATACCCGTCAGAGAAGAAGAATTGCAACAGATTCACCAGATCAATGACAAATTTTTCTAAATTCATCAATGATATGGGGCTAGTAGACTTGCAATTGTTGGGAGGCAGTTTCACTTGGAAGAAAGGGGTTGAACACAATATTGCTGCTAGATTGGATAGGTTTCTAGTATCTGAGGAATGGGATGTAGGGTTTAGGAAAATCAATCAGTCTATACTTCACAGGGTCACATCAGATCACTCTCCTCTATTACTTCAAAGTGGGAACTGGGAACTAGCTAAATCCTATTTCAAATTCGAAAATTGGTGGTTATTGACTGAAGGCATTAAAGAGAGAGTCAAATGCTGGTGGGAATCTTTCTTTTGCGAAGGTAGACCGAATTATGTTCTAGCTTTCAAATTGAAAGCCCTAAAGGAGAAACTCAAAGAATGGAGCAAATCAATACAAGGCAGTTTGAAGATGCAGAAACTGAATATACTTTGGCCAATTAGCTGATCTGGAGGAAACCCAAGAAGGGAAGATGCTGAATGATGAAGAGAAACACAAAAAATACACCTTATTGATAGAGTTTGAGGAAAATGCTAGGAAGGAGGAGATAGCTTGGAGGCAAAGGTCCAGAGCTGTATGGTTGAAAGAAGGGGACAAAAATACCAAATTCTTTCACAGAACTGCCAATGCACACAAAAGATACAACAACATTGATAACTTACAAGTGAACGGAGAAATTGTGGAGAATCCTGAAGACATCAAGAGGGAGATAGTTGCTTATTATCAAAATCTATACATAGAGACTGAGGAGTGGCGTCCACAATGCAACCTAAGGGACTGTCCCACCATCAATACAGAAGATAACCAGATGCTAGTGAGTCCTTTTGACCCACAGGAAATTTGGGAGAGTGTAAAAGCATGTGCAGGGGACAAAGCCCCGGCTCCAGATGGTTACACCATGGCTTTCTATACTCAATGCTGGGAAGTGATAGGCTCAGATGTGATTGCTGCTGTACAAAACTTCCATGCTAATGGGATCTTTGAAAAGAGCTTCAATGTCACCTTGGTGGCTTTGATTCCAAAGAAGGTGGGAGCTAAAGAATTGAAAGATTTCAGGCCCACTAGCCTGATAGGAAGTTTCTACAAAATAATCTCAAAGATCATGGCAGAAAGAATCAAAAAAGTCATTAGCAAATTGGTGGACACTCAACAGATGGCCTTTATCAAAGGTAGGCAAATCATGGATGCTATCCTAATTGCAAACGAGTGTGTTGATCTTAGAATGAAGAGCAAGGAACCTGGCATACTGTGTAAGCTAGACATAGAAAAAGCTTATGACCATCTGAATTGGGAATTCTTGCTGGGAGTATTAACAAAGATGGGCTTTGATGAGAGATGGATAAGGTGGATTAAGTTTTGCATCAGCACTGTTAAATTCTCAATTCTGATAAATGGTTCTCCGGCTGGTTTTTTCTCTTCTCAGAGAGGTCTGAGGCAGGGGGATCCTATATCCCTTTTTTTATTCATTCTGGCAATGGAGGGTTTAAACAGCCTGTTTAAATCTGCCAATGCTAACAACAGGATCAGGGGTTTCAGGGTAAATTATAGAGATCCAGTGTCAGTGGAGGTTACTCATCTGCAATATGCAGATGATACTTTGGTGTTTTGTGATGCTGATTAAGACCAGGTGCTTATTTTGAGAGTGATATTCATCTTTTTTCAAGCTATTTCTGGATTACGCATTAACTGGAATAAGAGCTTCATCTATCCAGTTAATGAAGTAATGGAGATTAATAGCTTGGTGAATATTCGGGGAGGAAGAGTAGGAACCTTACCAATAGTTTATCTTGGAATGCCTCTTGGAGCAAAAAGCAAATCTAAAGGGATCTGGAATGATGTAGTTGAGAAGTGTGAAAAGAAATTAGTTGGTTGGAAGAGTCAATATTTATCCCTGGGAGGAAGACTTACACTAGTTAATAGTGTATTGAATGCTATGCCAACTTACATGATGTCACTATTTCCTATGCCTGCAAGTGTAGCAAAAAGACTTGATGCCATGAGAAGAAACTTCATATGGCAAGGTGCCAGTGAGAAGAGCAAAATCCATCTGGTCAGATGGGATGTCCTTACAACAAGCAAGAAGGAAGGAGGGATGGGGGTTAGGAATCTGAAAAAACAAAACCATGGTCTGATGATGAAGTGGCTATGGAGGTTTGCCACAACAGAACATTCCTTGTGGAAAAATATAATTGAGGTAAGGTATGGGAAGTAAAGCAGCTGGACAACCAAATCTGTGAATAGCCCTTATGGTGTTAGCCTGTGGAGGTCCATCAGGAACCTATGGCCAAAATTCAGCAATAGGTTCAGCTTCAAAGTGGGCAATGGTATGAAAACTTCTTTTGGGAAGACAAATGGCTTGGGCAGAGAACCTTGAAGCAGCTATTTCCAGACATTTACAATCTGAACCAACAGCAAGGCTCACTAGTTGGAGAACTGTGGACAGGTTAAGGGTGGAATCTTACGTTCAGAAGACTCTTAAATGACTGGGAAATACAAAGACTGACAGATTTTTATAGCATCCTAGAACAATTCAAAGGGACTTCCAGCTCTCAGGATAAGGTGTTCTGGCAAGGGGGGAAAGAAGGCAAGTTTACTGTCAAATCTGCTTATAAAGAGTTTAACCAATCTAATAATCAAATTGGATGTTGGCCGTGGAAGATGATCCGGAAAGTAAAAATTCCATATAAAGTGGCATGCTTCACTTGGCTATTAGCAAGAGAAGCAGTTCTGACACAAGATAATCTACTCAAGAGAGGATATCATTTGGGGTCCAGGTGTCACTTATGCGAAGCTCAGGAGGAGACAGTCAACCATCTTTTTCTACACTGCAGAGTTACGGATCAGCTATGGAAGATATTCATCAACCTGAGGGGGTCCGGTGGGTTATGCCAGGGAGAATCAAAGAAGTTCTAACTAGTTGAAAAGAGATGGGGAGCATTCCAGTCAGAAGGAGAGATGGAAGATTGTCCCGGCTTGCATATGGTGGACAATATGGAAAGAAAGGAATCAAAGATGTTTCGAGGACAACCATAGTTCAATACAAAAGTTGAAGATGAACTGTTTAATGCTTTTCTATTTTTGGTGTAAACAGGAGTAT